TGTTGCAGAACAGGGTAACTATAAGGGAAGCAGCCCGAAGCAGTCTATGGGCCACCCTGTGTGTGTAATCATCTCTTTACGATTAAAATTGTTACATTTACAACGAAAAACAAGTACAGCAACGTACTACAAGAATCACTGCTACGCGGCTTAAGACACCTTTAGAATTGAGAATACATTAAGACGACAAAGTTCGACCGCAAATTCATAACAGCTATAAGTATATTATGATCTACAAGACTGACAAAGTACTTGATCGTTTCGGTCCCCCGTTCACCACGCCCTCCATTATATGTAGCACGTAACAAACACTCGTGAGAGCCAACCTACGATTCGGTTACCCCGTTTTCAAAAAAAATACGAAAATTCAAAAAAGGTAATAAAAACAGAAGTCTTTTTTGATGACCCGCGAATGAAAGCGCGCAGGTCCCACTGATGGGGCTATCGGTCATAAACACACCTGGCCCGGTGCAAAAACTGATGGCGCCATCCAAACCGTAAAGGCCGCCGATCATGGGGCCCGGGCCCCGGCCCGGGCCTTTATGCCCTGTGCGCCCACTGAGGCCTTTATGCCGTGAGGGGGAAAAGTAGGGGAGGGGGAGGGAAAAAATGATGGCAAGGTCCCCCTCTCGATATAGCCGGCACGCTCGCCCGCGCTGGACGACACATCGCAATAAAGTGCGTTTTAAGTCGGGATTCGAGTGGGCCGCGTCCTTGATGGGGCGCGGGAGGGCTGAAGGACCGATCCAGAATGAGACTATATCCAGCTTGGCCGAATGTTACGGCTGCAATCGTAGAAAGAGTGCCAAAAACCTCGTCATTTCAGAACTCTTCTCACACAAAAATTTACGAACGCTGCATCAGCGAAATACAGAATTGCCCTTCGGCAAGTTCAGTGCAAACCACTCGGTTTTTTTAGGTCTTATGGAGAATGTCATTGACATCCAAGACCAGAAAGGAACTTACTATTTTTAAACCGTGCGGCATTGAGAGGATCGTCATTGATAGCGCCTGCAACGCGCAGGGTAGGCGAGCCCGCCTAGCACATGTGTGAAGCGGGCGGCCAGCCCTGTGAGCGTCCCAGAGCGTCCGCAGCCGCACGAGCAAGGGCCATACGAAACACGGGGGGAGAAAGTTCCCTGACAGCGGTGCCATGAATAACGTGACCACGTACCACTTACACTGCAAACCCTACTGTGAACGTCGACTCTGCCTGTGCTAGTACACTGAAACTGTTGGGTTTGCAGTGTGGAGTTAAGTACTACCACACTCCGTGTACCGTGACCAGAAAATGTGTACCTTGAATCAAGAAAATTTCTTTTAAAAAAATTCAGATTTTTCATGGTTTGTCATTAATTCAATGCCATTCGGCTCATATTTAATGAAAAATTCTCTTGTAATTTCTAAAGAAAAAAAAATCATTTATTTAAGGCATTTCGCCTTGATTCAAAGACAAAGATTATCTGAGTACGGTTTACTACGAATGTAAAAGTACGCAAAACGGCACGTAGTACGTTACACAATTGCTGATAGTTGTTACTGTGGAATCGTCACTGTACGGTACGTGCACCTGTAACTTAGTAAATCACCTGATCGTTCCGAGGCCCCTATTCCGCCCCCCTTTTTCGAGGGCACGTCAATCTTTGTAACTCAAAAATCTCCATCCCCGGCCGAAGCCTCCAGCAGCTGCCGTGCTCCGCTACCTCACGCGTGTCTGACATGTTTAGAGCGGCGGGGCGCGGCCGACACACTCGCAGCGCAGAGTACTTTATCGTTTCGGTCCCCCGCCCTGCCCCCTCACGACGGGTCGTGCCTCGGAGTTACACCCCTCCGTAAAGGTTTCCCGGAGCGCGCTGCTCGCATCCTCGGCGGACGGCAGCTCCAGCTCGTGGGGCCAACCAAAGGGGTCTTCCTTCAGGAGCAGGATGCAGCGACGTCCTCGCTATAGCGACCATACTGCGAACCCTGAGACACAACGGACAAAAATAATGGCAACAAAACCAATAATCGGTCAACAACACTTGAAATTAAGTGCTAAGTGTCTAGTTGAATCCGTGCAAGTCTTTAAACAGGGTCGTTATAACTTTTAAGTGTTCACCGCCTCTGTATAACACTCCTTCGAACTGAACAAACCCTGAGTAGGAGATGATTAAAGGGATAACAATTGCCCGAAACAATTATTGGCATGTGCCCAACTATTTAATCGAGCACTTGCAGGTGCAGGACGACCGTGCACTTGCAAGTATTCGGTATTCAACTGGCACTTTGAACATCTAAAAGGGTTCCTGGCATTATGGCGCAAAAAACAGTTTGCTAAAAATTAGTCAGGAGACTACAAACTAACTTTTTTCATAGTCAATCTGTAGACGACGGGTGTAGCATACTGATTTTTTGCCACATTTCTCTTTTAGGTTTCTGGCCTCGCCAGTTCACTGAAAAATTGCATGATGTGGATTCGCGTATCGTGACGTAGGTCAAAGATAGGGGGCAGTTTGCTGAGGAGCGGGAGCGGGGGCGCGGACGGGGGGTCTTGAGACGTGACATAAAGCCGTGGCACACCGCGGGCCCGAGCCGGGCGGGGCCTCCCGCCCCCGCGAGTTAACGCCACGGACACCGATAAGCCCCAAGAGTACGTGCGAAGCGTTTGCAAAGTGGC